CCCCCCCCCACACACACACACACTTGTTAGGATGCTGTGCAGTCCCTGTATAGAGCAGCTTTCGTATGACTGTGAAAAGTTCAGTGCCGTGAACGTGTCGTGTCATAACGTAGGATTTTAATTGGCTGGATTTTCTTTTTGCGCGATGTGATTGGCTAAGCAGTGCCGTGTCCGCGTAGTGACAGTGTCCGTGCAGTGTTTCGTGCCATGTTTCTTGCATTTGATTGGACGAGGAGTGCGTGTCTTGCAGTGACCGTGATGTTTTCTAGATTTTTAATTGGCTGACTCCTTCCCATGACATTGTTCATGCCGTGAACGTTTCACAGTCATACGAAAACTGCACTAATAGTTATATTGAAACACTTCAGTGTATGGGTTACATGTTTTTATGGAGGAACTTGGGTGTGGTGATTTGGAAAACTCTTAGTTTTTGTGACAATTTAGATATCATTTTGAAGTTGACAATATTGAATCAATACCATTATTTTACATGACAGTCCCTCTAATAACAAATTACTTGTGGCACATTTCAATAATTTGGGTACTTTTGTAGGTTATGAATGGTCAGTCCTCAAATGATGGAATTCTAAGAGACTATTGTGATAGTGAACAGTACAAAATGCATGCTCTTTTTGGACAACCTGGTAATGCACTACTTCTTCATTGTTACTATGATGATTTTCAAGTAACAAACCCGCTTGGATCAAAGACAAAAAAACATAAAATAGGTATGCTTTTCAATCATGTATTTACAGGCATGTAAACTATTACGTGTTTTGTTAGGTTGCTGTTAGCATTAATAATTATCATGAACATTATTATTTATTGACTGACAATCTCCTGTTTTTGTGTGTGTGTGTGTGTGTGCTTGTTGATGGTGTGTTTGCAGATGATGAAAAAACAAACTACAACCAAACTATCCACAAGATATTAATTGCATGTTTGTCATGTTTAAACAATATCTGGCAGGGAAATTTTGAGAAATCTCTAAAAACTGATCTTTTGGGGATATCCTATTCACTTATGAATGTTTATGAGGTTTGACATGCAACATCCACCATCCTAAATTTCAATCCTGTTCAATATCAAAATATTGAATGCGTACATGCAATGAGAGTAAGTTCCCTCAAATGTGCAGTGTAAAATAAGTGCAAATGTAAGGTCTGGTTCATACGACGTGCTTCTGTTGTGCTGCACAATAGCACATTTGTGTTGACCCAAACTAAAGAAGGTTCAGCCTTGATTCATACGTCATACCTAGTATGTTGAGCCAAATACCTTAAACATAAATAGGTGGTAAAAACAGTCAGCAGAATTAAAGCAGAATTGAAAAATATCAAAGGAAAACATTGTTTGAGGTATGCATTTGGTTTGGCACAACATGTTATGACTATTGCCATTGAAATTGATTTTTTTATGAACATCAGGAGCCTTTTACTTCAATCTGGGAAATCTTAGTCCAGAATACCGTTCTGTTATCAACTCAATTCAGCTAATTGCTTTGTGCCGAGTACCGCTCATAAAAAAGTATGGAATGAATAGGATACTGCAGCCATTCATGCAAGACCTGCATCAACTAGAGGCAGTAAGTATATTGTAGCATACACTTAACTGTCACCTAAATGTAAGTTCAACCATATAAAAATAATTAAGTGCACATTGTCATTAATATTAATTTATAATTTAATTAAAAAATATGTATTTGTTTTCTTCCTAGGATAGAGGTGTAACATTTTGGATAGATGAACAAGAAAGAACATTCAGTGGTTCCATTGGACCTTATTCAAGTGACAATCTTGGGGCACATTCTCTTGGTGGTTTTCAGGAGAGCTTTTCTGGTCTAAGGATTTGTAGAATTTGTATGGCAACTAGAGAAGACACTAACACAAAGGTAGTAGTAGTAGTGTGCATGCATTTTTGGTCATTATTCAATGTGTCAAGTGTAAAAGATTATTTACCGGCATTCTAAATTTTGTTACAAATAAGTTTAGACTTTTGATCAGACCCTGTGTCAATAGTGTTAATATGAGTCTACACTTCAAAGTTCATGGACTTGAGATGAATATACTATTATACAACTCATATTGTGAATGTCACATTGATATTAGTTTACAGAAGCAGATTTTCAAATTAGAACAAGAGCAATCCATGACAGACATTGCCGGCTTGTAGAAAATGATGCAAATCTAGAAGCAACTTATGGGGTAAAAACAAGAAGTGTTCTCAACCAGTCCCGTTACTTCCACATTACTGATGGACTTGTTCTTGATGTCATGCATGACCAACTTGAGGGAGTGCTGCCCCTAGAAGTCAAGATTCTGTTACAGAAGTACATTCAAGAGGAAAATTATTTCACACTTGAAATTGTGAATGACAGATTAGAAAGATTGTGGTATCCTCAATCTGATGCTAGCAATAAACCAAGTCCTATAAAGCCGCAGTCATTGGCAAACAATTCAATGAGGATTTCACAGTCAGGTTAGGAGAATGATGTTTTGCAATGGTTGAGTTACATATTACTATTATATATTATGTTATATTTTAAAAAGAAAAAGAAATATACAAAAAATATATATAAAAGGCTTTGTTGTATACTAAAAGTACATGATAATTTCATATTCTTTTTCTTTCTTTCACCAGCAGCTCGGATGTGGTGCCTGGCAAGAATGTTTCCTATACTTATAGGAGACTTGATTCCACAAAATGATGAGCACTGGGAAAACTTTTTGCGACTACTGAAAATTGAAGAAATTGTTTTTGCTCCTAAAGCAACACCACAGCTGGCTGCATATCTTGGAGTTCTCATAGAGGAGTACCTAGAGGACTATGTCAACCTCAATGACCGGCTTCCAATCCCAAAACAGCATTACATGGTGCATTACCCAAATCAAATTATCAAGTATGTCTTTTTATATTGAAATTGTAAGCATTGTACATTTTGTACTACTGGGGGTTAGGGGAAGGGTATTACCACTTTATCCACCTTTCATAACTTTACATACCCTTTCAATATATGTATTATTAGCCCACTCAGACTTCATCATGCTGATTATTTAAGTTTTCTGAAACTTGCAGTGCAGCTTATACATGGGTATATAATGCAGTATTACTTATAGTTTTATGTGATGTTTAATGAATGAGCAATAATGTCTTATCAGGTTTAGAAGCATGAGGTGCAGCCGAGTGTTTTTAGACCTCATAATTATAAGATTTTGGTTCCACTGGAGCCACCATACATGGACTTTCATACTTCAATAGATATTTGATGTCACAGGCATGTGCGAGTAGCTCTAAAAGAAACTCCCACATGCTCAATATTCTATACATGGCAATCTGGAATTTTAGGGTGTGATGAGACCTTGATGAGGCTCTAAGTCTTCATCTAAACATGGACATATACTTCCTCTCAGATAAAGTCATCTGTCTTAGTGTTCTTTATATAAAGAATACTAATGAAGGTAATTTTTTTTATATAAAGGTTCATCTAAAAGATGGACTTAAAGGGGGACATTATCGAGTATAAAGGTCCATGCATGTAATATGTATGGTGTATCCAGTTGGCCCAAAGGCTTATGAATTATTAATGAGTTTTTTAATAATATCTAGTAATCTTCCATTTACAGAAATGGTCCCCTAGTAAGAAACTGGGCCATGAGGTTCGAGGCCAAACATAACTACTTTAAAAAGCTGGTAGACAACATCAACAATTTCAAAAATATCACCTATTCCTTGGCTATGAGGCATCAAGCCCTTCAGACTTATCGAATGCAAAGTTCACAAGGCAACTATTTGAGAGTGTCTTTGGAAATTGGACCTGGTAAGGGAGCCATCATTAATTACTGGGGGGGAGGGCCAGTAAAATTTCTAAACCTTCATCCCAAGAAATCTTGTCCTCCCCAAATCAAAGCCTTGTCCCTCTCCCTAAATGCTGGTCCAAAATTTTTTGGCCCTTCCCAAATCAAAGCCCCCTAAACTTACCAGCCCTCCCCCAGTAATTAATGACCTAAGCATTAAATTAATTTAACCCCATGTTCAATGTCATTGGCTAAATCATGAGAGTTTCCTTTAATATATATATATATTTTATATAACTTTTTAGCTGTTGGAAGGGTAACAACTGTTCAAGAAGCAGGAGTAGAAGATGAGCTGCAAGAGGCAGACCCCCAAACTAAAGGCGACAGTTCACTGACACGCACATCCTGGGTTAAAGTTTATGGAACCAAATACGTAAAGGGCGATGTTATTGTAATTGACTACCACCATGGCTTTCCAATTTTGGGAAAGATCCAAAAGGTTTTGGTTGTTGAGAGACACATAGTTTGGTTTCAGTACCTTAAAATAAATGTTACTGAATTTGTCTGTCATTTAAATGCTTTTAAAGTTCAGCAACTGAACGAAATAAGATATATTAAGCAATCTGAGCTTCTAGATTATTACCCCCTTGGTCTCGTTAAGGGATTTGGTTGCTATGCCAACCAAGTCTTCGTGACATTGAAATACAGATTGGATCTTATGCAGTAATGATATTTTTGGTTACATTTTGCTATATTGATGCATGTAAATAATACAGAAAAAATCATGATAAATAGTATATTGCAGAATAGAAAGTAAAGTTTCTTAAAATGGCTGCAAAAATATAAAGAAAAATTATTAAAAAAAATAATTACTTTTGTTTCAACTATGTTGTGGTGCTATTCATGCTCCATTTTTTCTGAGTAGAATTACTCAGAAACCAACTTGGATATCATAATGCGATTGAGTAATTTAACTCAACATTTGAGTTAGATTCTCTGAATTATCAAAGAGTTATTGGGTATTTCAATGATTTATGGGTGTTTTATTCATGTACTTTGGCCATTTTAGGGATGGATCGATTTGTAAAGGTTGTTTAATATTGTTCGAATTTGTGTCAATTGCTTGTGTACTATGTCTTGTCATAGTGCACGTGTTACTTTATACTGTTACATAATGTGTAGCAAATATAGCAAAAATATCCCAGCAGAAAGCATCCTTTGCTGGTAAAGCCCATCTCAAAATCATCCCTCATCCCTGTATTCCTTATGACAGACTCAACTTTTAGTTAATTTACTCAATACCTAGTAAATAAACTCACATATTGTGAGTTATATTACTTGACAAATTTTAGTAGAAATATTTGAGTAACTTAACTCAATATATTGAGTTAATTCCTGAGTTAACTCAAATTTTGAGTTAATCTAACTCATTTTGAATTAATCTAACTCATTTAAAAAAATGCTTTTTTTGCGGT